GTTTGATCCACTATAGGTTGCTGTGTTGTTCAAACCCAGTAGGCTGAGTTTATCATGGATTGTTGGGAGCAGTTAAGGAGCTGCTCAGTAACAGCAGCAAAACCTCCTGCCACGTGCTTTCATGAATTTACTAGTGACTGTGCTTCCACTGATACCAGCATGGCATATTAGAAGGATTGCTACATGCTCCTTGACCATTTTTGACCAACAGCCTCAAAAGAGCATGAGTGGAATCATATTTTTTCAACCCTAAAAATTACATATTTTAATTTTGTTTTAATTTAGTCAACACTTCATAGGTGTGCAAGTGCATCCTTGTCGCTATCTAATATAGGGCAAGGCTGTATATAGGCTAATTTGTGCACAGGAGCAGGGACTGAATACCTAGTTGAGAATGGAGAAGCACCAGAAAAAAATGACAAAAGCAGAAAAAGTAGATGCACCAAAAGTGCTGGGGTCATCACCCTTTTGACAATGTAATCCTCTCAGTTTTAAGTATTGAACTCATAATTCTCAGTGCCTTCTACCTTTTTAGCACTTCTCTGAGTCTATGATTACTCCAGAAAGTGCTGATATCAACTCCCTCCTGTTTTGGAGCAGGTACTTCAGATGCACACATTTCCCACTTCATTTACTTATTGGCCATTAAATTAGTATATACAGTAAATAATGTATATTCATTTTAAGTATATTAGAACTGTCAAGAACTAGAGTAACCATAGCAAGAAACGCTCCAGAAAGAAGCCACATAAATGGTGGCAGCAGGAGAAGAAAGTATTTCTACTTTTTGGAGTCACTGCAGAGTTGGGGATTATTGTAATAGTAGAGGACACTGGACACAGTTCAGCAATTAAAATCAATAGAATCCCATTGCTAAGTAGGTGATATTGTTACCATCCCCCTTTTGGTGCACCTATTTTCCTCACTTTTTATCTGAGCTTTTCACTTGGCACCTAGGCAAATGACAGCTGGCAACTTTACTGTAATTAGTCCATATGGTCTTGCCTTATCCCTCACTGACATATGAAACAGACAAGAAATTGAACAGACAACCCTACAGGTCTATATTTTTGGGATAGCTGTTAAGTGTGCACTTCTGCACCTGTGAAAGGCAAACAGTAATATGTATTTAATGTTTTTCCTGAGCTAAACCCCTCATGACTCAAATGTGTTTATTTGAGGCACCAAAAATAATTTTAAAATCCCATCAGTGAAGAAGAGGACAGAGTGCAGAGTACACAGATAGACAAGCCAGATTCTCCCACAAAAAACACTAGGATGAATACTGGAGTTTAGCTGGAGACTGAATGGAAGAACAATCCACAGTGGCCCTGATCACCTCTCCGTGCACTCTAGCGTGTTCAGCAAACAATCAAACCACAATGGCTTATTCACCGGGTGGCTTAGTCTGATATAAAAACAAGGCTGTTCTGAGAAGATTTCTATGTTGCTCATTGGAAATGAGGTCTAGGGTATTAAGAGGTGTCCAAGATTATTTTTGCATGTTGTGTAAGGTATGTTTGTTTTGAAGTTTCCTAAACCATAAAAGATAAAATAATAAATATTTGACTCTCCAGTGCTAGACTAAGGTTTACTGTAATGTTCCCTAAGTAGGGCAGAATATCAGGAACTGGCGCTTCTTATTTTATTGATTGATTGATTGATTGATTGATTTTATAGCCTGCCTTTTTCCTATAAGGGGCTCAAGGCAGCTTACATCATTCTCCTCCTCCATCTTATCCCCACAACACCAACCCTGTGAGGTAGGTTGGGCTGAGAGTCTGTGACCAGCCCAAAGTCACCCCGTTGGCTCCATGGCTGAGCAGGGACTAGAACCCAGATTGCCTGAGTCCCAGTCCCATGCTCTTAACCACTACACCACACTGGCTCTTTAAAGTTTGAACATCCCACTATAACACTCAAGTGCAGGAGCATTCCCATAGCCCAAAATATGAAAAATACAAAAAGGCTCATCTCTTTCACTGTCTTTGAATGCTGTGGCTATAATTATTTCCTACAGATCATGAGTTTCTGGTTGCAAAATTTAGGCTTAAGTTGAAGAAAGTAGGGAAAAGCACTAGGCCACTCAGGTATGACTTAAATCATATCCCTGATGAATATACAGTAGAGGTAACAAATAGATTTAAGGAATTAGATCTGATAGATGGAGTGCCTGAAGATCTATGACAGAGGTTTGCAACACTGTACAAGAGGCAGCAACTAAAACCATCCCAAAGAAAAAGAAATGCAAGAAAGCAAAATGGCTGTCTGAGGAAGCTTTACAAATAGCTGAGGAAAGAAGGGAAGCGAAAGGCAAGGGAGAAAGAGAAAGATACAAACAATTGAATGCAGAATTCCAGAGAACAGCTAGAAGAGATAAGAATGCCTTCTTAAATGAACAGTGCAAAGAAATAGAAGAAAACAATAGAATAGGGGGGACCAGAGATCTCTTCAAGAAAATTGGAGATATGAAGGGAACGTTTCATGCAAAGATGGGCGTGATAAAGGACCAAAATGGCAGGGACATAACAGAGGCAGAAGAGATTAAGAAGAGGTGGCAAGATTACACAGAGGAACTATACAAGAAAGAGCTTACCGTCCCTGATAACCATGATGGGGTGGTCACTGACCTCGAGCCAGACATCCTGGAATGTGAAGTCAAATGGGCCTTAGGAAGTCTGAGAAACAACAAAGCTAGTGGAGGCAACAGTATTCCAGCTGAGCTACTCAAAATCCTAACAGATGATGCAGTAAAAGTGCTACACTCAATATGCCAGTAAATTTGGAAAACTCAGCAGTGGCCACAGGATTGGAAAAGGTCAGTTTATATTCCGATCCCAAAGAAGGGCAATGCCAAAGAATGTTCAAACTACCGCACCATTGCACTCATTTCATATGCTAGCAAAGTTATGCTCAAAATCCTACAAGCTAGGCTCCAGCAGTATGTGGACTGAGAACTACCAGAAGTACAGGCAGGATTTCAAAGAGGGAGAGGAAATAGAGATCAAATTGCCAACATACGCTGGCTCATGGAGAAAGCTAGGGAGTTCCAGAAAAACATCTACTTCTGCTTCATTGACTATGCTAAAGCCTTTTATTGTGTGGATCACAACACATTGTGGCAAGTTCTTAAAGAGATGGGAGTACCAGACCATCTTATTTGTCTTTTGAGAAACCTATATGCAGGTCAAGAAGCAACAGCAGAGCACATCATGAGAAAGGCGGGGCTAGATGAATCACCAGCTGGAATTAAGATTGCTGGGAGAAATATCAACAACCTCAGATATGCAGATGATACCACTCTCATGGCAGAAAGTGAAGAGGAACTAAAGAGCCTCTTGATTCGGGTGAAGGAAGAGAGTGCAAAAGTTGGCTTGAAACTCAACATTAACAAAACTAAGATCATGATATCTGGTCCTCTCACTTCCTGGAAAATAGATGGGGAAGAAATGGAGGTAGTGACAGATTTTATTTTCCTGGGCTCCAAGATCACCGCAGATGGTGACTGCAGCCAAGAAATTAAAAGACGCTTGCTCTTTGGGAGGAAAGCTATGACAAATTTAGACAGCATACTAAAAAGCAGAGATATCACCCTGCCAACAAAAGTGCGTATATGACTGTGAAAGCTGGAGCATAAGGAAGACTGAGCGCCGAAGAATTGAGGCCCTTGAATTGTGGTGCTGAAGAAGACTCCTGCGAGTCCTTTGGACTGCAAGGCGATCAAACCAGTCAGTCTTAAGAGATCAACCCTGACTGCTCTTTAGAAGGCCGGATGCTGAAGATGAAACTCAAATACTTTGGCCACCTAATGAGAAGAAAGGACTCACTAGAGAAGAGTCTAATGCTGGGAACAATTGACGGCAAAAGAAGAAGGGGACGGCAGAGGATGAGGTGGCTAGATGGAGTCACTGAGGCAGTTGGTGTGAGCTTAGGTGGACTCCAGGAGATGGTGGAGGACAGGAAGGCCTGGAGGAGTGTTGTCCATGGGGTCGCGATGGGTTGTACACGACTTCGTGACTAACAACAACATAATGTATGCTGGGGTTGGGAAAACTTAGGCTTCTGGGACCTCCTTTTTTAAATAGTGTTTACAGACTCGCCACCCGGCATCAGATGCAAAATGATGTCTCAAGGCATGCATATGTCCACACTCCTAGTAGTCCACACAGAGTAATTCTGAGCATTTTTGTTTCCAATGTCATAACTGAGCTCACCATTCTTTCACACAAATATGCACTCCCAGCTTTTCCCTCACCCCGTATGAAACTCTTGCCTTGCAGATTTTCCTTCTCTGCCCACCCGCTTTATAACTTGCTTGGTAAATAGAAAGAAAAGTACAGTGATGGTCCGTGGTGTCCCTCCTGTACAGACTATTTATTTATTTATTTATTTATTTATTAAAACTATCTATCCTTCCATCATACAGAAAGAGGAGTTTCTCTGTACCTCATACATAATGGGGGCAGGGGGGTATATACGTACAAATATTCTCTAGAAAAGTTCTTGGGAACTTCAACGCAACACAATGAGGAAACAAAAGAAACCTAAAACACAGTTAGACAGGTTTTATTTCAACAGCTTCTCTGCCTTCCTGGCCATGAGAATCAGAAAAGAAAATCTGAAGGCTCCACTTGCTCTCAAGGACATCCACACACCGTCGCCAGCATCCGCTAGATGACCTGTTCACTGGACAGAGGCGGCTGGGATGGGATTTCCGCTTCTGGCTGGCCACGCCCTTACGTGACTCAAGGCAGAACCTATGTGGGGTGGATCCCAGGGCAGTCGGAGAAGGGCAGCCGCACAGGTAGCACAAGAGCCAATCGGGTAGCGCAAACGAGAAGCGAGGCGGCGACCCACTTTACTTTATAGCTGAACCACGTCCCGGAAAAAAAAAGCCCGAGCCACGCCCCTTCTGACCGCTCTCGCCAATCACCTCACGAGACAGAGACATCTTTCTATCCCCCCCGCCCGCGTGCCAGTGTTTGGGGGCAGGAGTGGGGCGCACGCGCGCGCGAGAGGGAGCGAGGCAGAGGGAAAAGAGAGGGCGCATTCCTGAAGGGAGGGGCCACCTGACAGGAGCGGCAGCGCGAGCCGGCGCCAAGACGAACTGCGACACTGACCGGCCGGTCGCGCTGCTGGTGAAGGGAGGTGCAAGCGGAGGCGGCGGTGTGGCGCGGGGACAGAAATGGGACGTCAGAGCCGCTGCCGGGCGCTGCCCTGAAAGGCTGCCGGGCCGGGCACCGTCGGAACTGTTGGAAAAGGCCGACGTGAAACCAGGCAGGCGGGCAGGCGGGCAGGCAGGCGACGGCTTAGCCTTGGCGGGGAGGACCGGAGCGGCGACGATGGCGACCGCTGCGATGCTCTTTCCGTCGGCTCTGGCTCCCTCGGAGACTCGGAAGTTCACGCGGGCGCTGAGCAAGCCGGGCACTGCCGCCGAGTTACGGCAGAGCGTCTCCGAAGTGGTGCGCGGCTCCGTTCTTGTGGTGAGTGATCTGCCGGGTGAAGGGGACGCGCTTGGGGCGGCGGGATGGAGGAGGCACTCACCTGGCCGGGCCGTGTCTCTTTCTCCTACTGCCTCCTCCGTGGCTCGCCCCGTCGCGCCTTACTGCCTAGGTGAGGCAGGAGGAGGCACAGGTGGCGGGAGGGGCGCTGAGCCGCGTCTGGGACGGGGCCAGCGGGCACACCTGGTAGATCTCCTGCTCTGTGTAACTACTCCGCTTGAAGGCATGCGGCCCGACCCCGGACATGCCTCATTGTGAGATACCCCTGGGCTGCGGAGGCATTTGCTTCCCGGGAAGTCTTGCTGGTTTCGGCAAGACCTCTTCCCAGGTGAGGCGGGCAGGCGAATGGATCGCTGCGCAAGAGCGCGGAGGCGAAAGAGGACCGGCTGTCAGAGCACTACGTGCAACGATCCCTCCTCGGGACCGCCAGGATAGGTTTCTCTTTCCTTTTCTAGTCGCCAGGTGGGAATTTAGAAGGCTTAGCCTGATCTGCGGGAGAGAGGCGCGCCTGGGAGGGTGGAGAGAAGGGGACGCTTCCGGCTGGGCTTCACCCTTCTTTCGTTGTGCTCGCAATGTATCTGTGTGGAGACCTATTTCCCGTTGCCTGTATCCTTCTGTTTCCTGTTCCCCGCTCGGGCAATTGAGCGCCGAGAAACGGGAAAGAGGGGGATTGTCTCTTTCCATCTGCAGCGCCTGGCTTCAGGCGTGCGCTTTTGCCTGCTCTGTGAAAACTTCCGTCCATTCACAATAAGTCCCGCCTTCGCTTCCTTCCCCGCGGTCTCTAAGAATGAATGAGTGACTGGAAAACTTTGGAAAGGATGTCAGGTTGTCTGTGCGGTCCGGGAAACATCCCTCTATGATCTTCAGCACGCTATGTATGCTCTAGAAATCAACGCTCAGCTGGAACACAGTTGTTGCTGTACCTGCACACTTTGATACTGGAGTAAATGCTTTGATAGTTTTTTATTTATCTAAATATGTTCAGTCCACCCTCGTTTTTATGTCCTGTTCAGGATTTTGTGCTTATGACAGCAATCTGTTTAATGATTTTCTGTGGTGTAACTTAAGTAGAATAAATGACAATCTTGTGCAAGTTTGGGATGTGGGGCGAGCCGTACAACTCCTGCCATGCTGGGAATTGTAAGTGTCTAAATTTATATAGGGTTGCACCTTAGGAGATGGAACAGTTTAGTAATTCCACAGTGTAATGGTTGCTGACTTAATTGTTGCTGTTGTTCCACGAGGACATAGTAGCTGTTTAGATCTTTCAGCAGTAGATTCACTGCAAAAATTGATCAAATTTATTTCTAACCAAACATTTTTCACAAAACATTCTATAATATAAATGGAATAGGTTACTTATACTATTTGTCAGTCTTCATTCTGTCCCAACTCTTTCCTACCCCTGCATTATCTACCTTGAATCTTTTGCCAGGCTTTTAGTGTGATACTGTCTAGAACTGCTGGTGTCTCAAAAAATGTACATCTGTTTACAACATTTACATAGAGTTGACTCCTAGAATATACATTTTGGTATCATACATCTTCCCAAATACATGTTAACTCTGTTAATATCTCATAATTATTTCTAAAAACAAAGGGCTGGGTAATAATTGAAATTAAATAAGCATTGTCTGCAAATAGGCGAAAGGAAAGGTGAAGGAGCTTTAACAATATAGTGCTTTCTACTCCAGTTTCTTTTAATTCATACAAAACTTTTTGTGTCTAAGGGTTGGTATGTGTCACATGACTTTTCTGCAGATGGGGGTCACTACTTGAATTCATTGTTAATTGTTGCATGTGATAACCATGTTATCTTTTTTCTGAGACAGAAAACAAAACTTCATATGCCACTGCTGAAACCATATTGAAGAAATATATGTTAGCAGCAAAACATCAATTTCAGAATGGTGACCAGTTCACTATTAGTATACATTTGCAATGGTTTCAAGAAACATGGCCATTGTAACTTGAACAGAACATTGTTTTTCAGTTCTGGCTCTTGGTGATATTGAGGATGGTGTTTTTAATAACTTAGGTGTTCCTCTGACACATTAAACAGAAAGAAAATGAGAAATACAAAAATGTGCATCCTTCAAACAGTGCCAATACTAGATTCAATGGGGTAACTGATTGTTTATTAACAGATACGTTTCAGCTGTTAAAATCTGAACAATCTGGGTGCCTGAAAGAGCACCTTCTTCCCTATGTGCCCTCCTGCCCCTTGAGATCTGATGCAGAGGCCCTGCTCCGAGAGCCCTCCTTGAAGGAGATTAGGAGAGTGGCTACCAGGAGAAGGGCCTTCTCTGCAGCGGTACCCCATCTATGGAATACACTTCCCAGAGGTTTGCCTGGCACCAACACTATTCTTTTGGCATCTGGTGAAAACCTTTTAATTTTCCCATTATTTTAATGATTAGTTTGTTTTAACTGGGACTTGATTGCTGGATGCTGTGTTTGTTTTGATATTTTATTGTTCCTTATTGTAAGCCGTCCTGAGATGTCAGTGGTGGATGGGATACAAAAGTTTTAAATAAATAAAATAAATAAAACAATTGTGAAATCAGAATGGCGAGATTTCAAAGTAAGTACTTTAGTATCCAGTGTGAGACAACACTGCTTTCAAAATGGCTGTGCTATGTACCTACTGACTTCTCTCTGTGTGATTTTTATTGTATATTATCTAATTTGCATAATTTTAAACTACTCAATGCATTTTCTTCAAGAATTCAGGTAAATTCTCTGCATTTATGGCTAGATCTCTTCTTTAAAGTTCAGTGTTTAAGACATTGAAGACACTTTGGAGCAGTCCACAGATATGCTACCACATTCAATTATTTGAGACCCAAGCTCTTCTGTTTGTTCAGGGTACAATTCAGTTTATATCAGCTCCCAGCTTTCCTCAGCAAGCCATGGCTCTTAGGGAAAGCTGGGAGCAATAGTACTTTTTTTCTGTCCAAGCATGCTTAGGGTTATGGAAAATCTCAGGATTTCTGAACCTCCTTGGTCCCATGGATACATTTGGGAATTTGAGAAACTGTTGTGGGCACAGCCACTAAATGGCCAATCAGTGGATTGCCATGTTAGCATCTGTATGTCCTATTTATGGTTCTTAGGGTGTATCTAAGTCAGCAAAAATATTTCATATCTATTGGATACTACATTGTCTCTTTAATAAGGGATTGGCAAGTTAGGCTAATTGCTGCTGGGCAGTACAGCTAATGCATCTTTTAAACATATGTTTTAAGAATGCCCAATAGTTGCTTGCTTGCTTGTTTGATTTCTATCCCATCCCCTTAGCCAGAATGGCATGTATAAGTACTATTAATTTAACAAATGTAACAGTAATAATATCACAATAATAATCAAACAAATGTAACAGTAATAATATCACAATAATAATCACAAAAACACCTGCAATAAAACCTCACAATAACCTCTGTATAACCTCAGTTCAGCATCCCATTCAGTTGACTATCCATTTTTGCTTTGAATGCCTCTAGTGTGGGAGAGCCCACAGCCTCTCTCGGCAGCTGGTTCCACTGTCATATTGCTCTTTCAGTTAGGAAATTTCTTCTGGTGCCTATTCTGAGTCTGGTGTGCTGCAATTTAAGTTTGTTGTTCCATGTTCTACACTCAAAGATGAGCGCCTCTTCCTCTTTGTGACCACCTTTGAGGTACTTGTAGAGTGCTAAGATATCCCTTCATGGTCTTTTCTTCTTGAGGCTGAACATAACTAACTTTCTCACCCTCTTATCATACGGCTTAGTTTCCAGACCCTGGATCATCTTTGTAGCCCTCCTCTGAACCCTTTCTAGTTTTTCTGCATCTGTTTCAAACCTGGGTGCCCAGAATTGAACCCAATATTCTGACAAGTTCTGAATAAACAGGAACTACTATCTCTCTTGTTCTGGAAGTGAAGCTTCTATTTATGCATCCCAAAATAGTGTCTGCCCTTTTTGCAGCTGAATTGCACTGCTGGCTCATTCTTAGTTTATTGTCCACAACAACTCCAAGGTGTTTTTTTTTTCAGTGCTGTTGAGTCAAGTATTGTTTTATTATATAGGTTTTGATTGTTTTAGTGTATTTTGATTTTAATATTGTAAGCCGTCCTGAGATGTCACACATTTAGGACAACATATACAAGTTTTAAATAAACAAATAAACAAATACAGGTATCCCTTGCTTAATGAGGTTTTGATTAATGTGATTTGATTAACACAGTAAAATTAATTGTGACAATCCCTTGATATACGCAGCATAGTTTTAATTAACACACCTTTTAAAACTTGTCATGAACTACTCATGAGATAACTTGATAACTTTTTCAACAAAAATTGTAATAATTTAAGTACACTTAATAAAGCATGTACTTTGCAATCATATTTTGTCTTAAAACAGTACCACATGATGAATTGTTAATACAATAATTATGGATGAAGTGTAATTTTTACCATTGATTAGATTTGTTTAACATGGCAATATTGTGCGATCAATTAACATTTCATTGAGGGATACCTGTATTCCCCATCTTGTATCAGTGCATTTGGATTTCCACCCACTAGGTAGAAAACTTGGGAAAAGTTTGTCCCTGTTGATTTTCATTGTATTACTTTCTGCCCACTGTTCTGGCTTGTCTAGGTTACCCTGGATCTTTTTGTCTTCCGGAGTGTTAGCTATTCAGCCCAGTTTTGTGTCATCTGCAAATTTATCATGCTACCCTATAGGGTAGCATTGGCATTATACGAACATGTTCCCTGGCCTTGACAATGATAATACAAACTGTTACAATGGTGACTTCCACATATGGGATACTTCCACTGAAAAAATCATCCAAAATACTGCTAACTGTACCTCAGAAGTTAATGGTATTTGTGAGAGGCCTGCACCAGTTGATTTTAAAGGGTATTAAAATCTTCATCAGGATAATGAAAATGTAATATGAAGGGACTATATAAACATTTTCTTGTGATACCCAAATA